ACCTCCCTCCTCTCTTCTCTCACCACCAACTACTCTCTCTCTCTCTCTCTCTCTCTCTCTCTCTCTATAACACACAGACGTCGGAGTAAAAGGTACAGCATCTCTAGAGCACACAAATCCACCATATTGCCTCTTGAGCGTCACACAAATTGGATTCGAACGGGGCCGTCCACGTGTCACAATTAGCGGCAACAGTCATCCATTGAGACGGACAGCAGATCACACGTGCCAATGCTATCCATCTGTCTCTCTCTACCCCCTAATCCATATCTCACATCTCTTTCCTTGTACCCACAGGCCTACATCTTTTTCCCTCTACCCATCGTCTTAATTTGCACAACTCATCTTTCTCTCTACCCCGTCCTTTTTTTTTTTATTTTATTGTTCTCACTACCCAATCTTAACATACTTCATCTCTCTCTATCCGTTGTCTATATTGAGTGATTTACATGCCGATCTTAATTTTTTTTTCTAAAATATAAACTGTTCTGTTTTATCGTTAGAAATTGAAAACAAGATAAGTTACCCGCTTTTTAAAAAAAAAAAATTGCCGAGATTCCTTGGACTAGCTTTTAATATTTTTTCTTTAGTTTTAATTTTGATTTTAGTTTCCCTAGTAATGAACAAAATTAAAAATTAAAATTAAAATTCGATCCAAGGATGAAGTCTTTAGACCGAAGCAATTTTGAAAAAAGTAAAAAAAATTTGGGTTGACTGATTTCTTTTGTAATTTCAGCATTTCATATTTTTTTTTAAAAAAACTCAAGGTCCATACATAAATCTCTCTTTAACCCATATAATACATCTCTATTAGCCCATAACATCCATCACTCTCTCTACTCCATAATCCGTCTTTTTTTTTTCCTTTATGTTGACGGTGGTAACCCATATAATCCATCTCTCACTAACCCAGGTAGTCCACCTTTGTCTCTCTACCGCATAATGTATCGCTATATCTTAACCCATTTAATCCATCTCTGTACCTCATAATGCATTTTTCATTATGCCTTAGGCGATTGACTCTCTTACAAATAAAATCTCTTTCTCCTGTTATATCTCTCGGGCAAGCTTTCCATGCTTCCCCTCCTGCATAAAGTTCTGCCTTTCGGGGGGCACAGAGGAACTTCCCATGAGCTTTCTAAATTTTCCCTGACGCTTAAAACTTATATGCTTTATGCTTTTCCTAATACATAAAACTTATATGCTTCATTTATCCGATCATCCATTTTGAATAGAATACCTGAGATGACCTCGATCACGATGTCATGCGTTTTTTCACTATTTTATTTTTAATTTTTTATATGAACCAGACACCAAATTTTAAACATTCACCTTTTATAACACCTATAAAAAAATGTTTATAAAATATTCTATAAAAAAAGTACCTTTGATATCCCTGAAAATTTTGAAAGATATTTTGATCATTATATTTTATTCCAAAATTATTTTTTTAATATTTTTCAGATACGCTTCATGACCCAAGCTTTCTGGACAGTCTAAACGATAGGGATGATACAAAACCCGCCTAAACTCTAGAGACAATAGATTTAATTATTGATGTTTTATAAATTTATTTGAAATTTTTTTAGAAGATTTTAAATCTTAAAAGCATATTTGAATGCACATCCTGTTTGTTTGGATTCGACTGCCCAGGTTCTAGGAGCCCACCTAAGTACCCGCTTAGGTGGGCCTGAACCCCAGCCGGCCTAGGACCCGCCTAGCGTAAAACTATGGCATTTCCAATGGTTCATATCTCTACCTCATCCGTCTCTCTCAAAGAAAATAGAGAATGCCCCTTCTTGCCTAATATTAGGCACCATAATCCATTTTTCTCTCCATCCTTATACCCCTTTCTCTCACACACACAAATTAGGGAATGCATTTGTTGACGCAACATAAAGTGCTCTCTTTCTCTCTCTACCTCTCACTTATCTCTCTCATTCATTGACGCAACGTAATCATTTCTACTTAACCCCAAAAAACATAAAATAAAAAATGCTCTCTACCTCTCACCTCTCACCTCTCACCTCTCACCTCTCTAGAGAGAGAAAATAAAGAAGGCATTTTGGTGCATATGTTACGCTCCATATTTCGTATTCTCTGCAACCAACCAAACAAGGCGAACTGAATAACGAGACACGTGTCCCGCCCATGCAAGCGCACTTGGAGAGAAAGAGACTGCACTTCCAATGAAACACAAAATCCAGTTCTAGAGAGAGAGACACCAATGAATAGAACACACTGCGTGCAAAGAGATGGAGTAGACGAGAACAGAACCAGTTTTAGAGAGAGACTAAGAAATGAGAAATTTGCGCGCTAATGGAGAAAGAGGGAGAATAAATAGGGGAAACATGCTCGAGACATGGACACCAATTTCTAGAGAGAGAGAGAAACACTAAAAACTGAGAAATTTGAACATAGGCACAACATTTTAGAGAGAAAAAAACACTAGAAAAACTAAGTATTTTCAAGGCACTCTTAAACAAGCAAATTGATAATTCTTATCCGCTCAAAGCATTAAACTATGAGTTCCTATTGTACAGGGAGAAGGGGAAAATGCGACAACAGAAGCAAGAAAGATAGAGAGAGAAAGGCTCGAAGGATTTCTCTCTCTAAGTTTCTCTATCTAGGTCTCAGAGCATTCGGCCCAACCTTCTTCCTTTGCCTTGAGCTTAAGAACATTCGAGAGCTTGGACTCGGAAATGGCGATTGCCTTCATGGGAACACCAGAGCATGCTTCAAGCTTCTGAAGCCACAAAGATCTCTGAACTTTTCTCTCACTAAGCTTAATGGCAAGCCATAGCGAACCAGCCAAGCAAATACGAGGGGGGAAACCCTTGATCCTCTGCATCGAAATCCCGAAGGCGTGCAAAGCTAGAGCGAGAGTGCATCGGCTACTGAGCCCTAATCTCCTGAACCAGTTGATCAACACGGCCTCCGCTTTCACATCAATATTACCTTGGACCTCTTTAATGGAGGAAACCCTAGGTCTCTGAGGCCCAGGGCACCCTTCCACAGAGAGATCAGAGTCCGAGCTCGCTGATCTGCCATGCTTTTGGCCGGAAATCCGTTTTCCGGCGCCCTTTTCCGGCGCGTATGCAAAGGACTCCGCGCTCGAGATGCAAGCTGACTCCGATGATTCGGGATCCGACTCACCCTCGACATTAGAGCAAGGGTCGCAGAGCCAGCGAAGTGGCGAGATGCAGGTCCCTGAAACGCCATTTTCGTCGAGTCCTCTGCATCTGTAACAAACGAGTCGCCTCAAATGGCGAGCCACCAAGAAGTTGCCTCATGAACCCTAGCGTCGCACTGGAAGCAGAGAAAGGCCGAGTCAGGAACACAGTAAACCTCCGCTTCTCCATTACAAAGCTCGCACCCCCTCCTCTCCTTCATCCCTTTCGGAAAAACCCTAAACCTATCCGCAACCGCCTACCCTGCAACAAGGTCCTCTACCTTCTCATAAAACCACTGGAAATTTCCGGCGAATTTTGTACTGTTTCGGGCCAATATTTACAGGGAATGGCCAACCCTGAACCCCACTAATAGGGAGACGTAAGGGGTTCGGATCGCCGGAAATATTTCCCGGCGACCAAAGTGCCGGATTCCGGCCACTGGTTATGCACACAGAGAGTTGAGGCCTGAGAATCGATGGCTTCCAAAACTGAAGATTTTGCGGTCCTGCAAAGAGGAGAAATTTGCACGACTTTAAGAGGAAGAGAGAATTTTATACGGCCTCGGGCCTCCCTGTCCACATACCTCGTCCGCCTCGAACAACTCAAACTTTCTCTCTCTAAAACGCTCTCTTATTTATTTACCTAAAATAAAAACGCTCCCAAGAACCGTGTTTGTCTTTCTATCCCTGTCGCTCGAGTCTGGAACAGACGCTTTGATTCATTTATTGTGGCCTTCTCTCTCTCTCTATCTCCACCCCACGCTTTCATTTACTCATCTTTCCTATACTTTCTCTCTCTAAAACGTATCGCTCTATCCAAAATATCTCGACCGGATGTGGGAGCCACGTTTCAAATTCAGCCCACAGGACCGCGACACGTGTACTTACCAAATGCCACCTGGGCGGCTGAGTCGGCGCCTTTGACGCTTCGCTCGTCTGTTACGCAAACTTAAGGCGTAGTTACCCTGATATTGTAGAAAATGACAACTAAGTCACCATTTTTTTTTTGTGAAATGAAAATCAGGGTCTCCGTTTTGTTACATATAATCGTCGTTTTACCACGAAAACTGCTGGTTCCTTCTCTGCTAAGTCATTTTTTTATAAATACTAGAATTGACATGGGTTGATCGATTTTTGACTCAAGAACGAACGAAAATGGATTGATCGATTCCTGACTCGAGATAAAAAATGGGTTGATCAATTTCTGAGTCAGATCGAACGATTCCATGCCGACCCAACATTTTTTAAATCACTTATCATTATATTTATGTCCCCTCTATTTCTCTCTCACTTTCTCTTAAGACAATTAAGTCTAATGAAATTTAAGTCCTCTATATTTCTCTCTCACTTTCTCTTAAGACAATTAAGTCTAATGAAATTTAAGTCCTCTATATTTCTCTCTATCTACTTCTTTCTCTAATGAAAACAAAGTCCTTGCTCTTCGATTCTTTCTCTCTGTAATAAAAACTTAAAGTCCTTGCTGTTCTCTCTCTAAGTCCTACCGTCTGTTTAACACATACGCTCTCTCTCTCTCTCTCTAATTTTATTTTGGGTTAGTTATGGTAGGTTTGCAAGAGCCATTAGTGAAGTTCTTGCCTTCTAATCTAACCTCTCTCATAAAACGACGCTTTCTTTCTAAATCTCTCTTTAATAACAATTAGGTCCTTTCTCTCTCTAATAACTATCAGGTCCTTTTTCTCTCTAATGACAATCAAGTCATTGCTCTCCAATTTCTTTCTTCGAATGCACATTCTCTCTCTCTCTCTCTCTCTCTCTCCTTTGGGTTAGATGATCAGCAAGAGAAACATTCACTCGAATAAATGGGTTAGATCCCAAAATCAGCATCTCTATCCCATGCGCACTATATTAATCCGGATAAGCTGGACCGATGATTTAGATCTTGAATTGGTGAAGAATCAATTTAAGAATGGCAGAAAAGAAGATTCAAGCGAAGGGACCTGGGTTACCCCCCACCGACTCCCATCCGAATGTGCACTTCCCCATTCAGAATTTTAAAAAATAATAATCAAAATATGTTTAATACAGTCATACTATGGAGAATGGACAAACCAAAGGCATTTGATGGGGTCCTTCTCATTATTAATGCAATCAATTTGGACAAATGAATGTATGGACACTGCATTTATTCTTATTAATTCATTGTGTGCACACGCATTGCGGAAAAAATTTGGAGTGGAAATTCCAAATGAAACCGGTTCTCTTGTCAAATTGAAGTATTCTAGAGAGAGAAGAGAGGTGTATTTTATTTTTTAGAGAGGAGCATGAGAGAGAGATGGTCAAATTGAAGTATTCTAGAGAGAGAGAAGAGAGGTGTACTTTGAGAGGAGTTCATTTTTTAGAGAGAGAGAAAAAGGGGGTGAAATGTAAGTGTACTTTTAGGAGAGCAAGGACAATTGCCCTAGAGTGGGGGGGGTACGTTCCTAGAGAGAGAGAAAGAGGAGCATGGGATAGAATGAGGATCATGACGGTAGGTTGGCAATCGACTTGGCCGGACAGGACCCGACAGGTAAACCCGAACTTGGGTCCGGGGGTCCAAATCTCAGTAACAATGTTTGGGTATAGGTTTTATGCCGTTAGAAGTACGACCCGACCCGACCCGACCCGTTGCCAGCCTTACGTAAAAGACAAAAAAGAGATGGAGGGTGGAGGGAGGGTGCATTGTGAGAGAGAGGAGA